AGTCACTAGGCAGTAAATACCACATTCCAAAATGAGATGAGGGACTCCACACAGGAGTTGCAAAAGAGTTGTCTTTCAACCAGTTTTGCAACTCTTAGTGGGCCAGCTATCTCCACTCTGCCTTCCCTTCTCAATCTTGCCACACACACACACACACAAAATAAACAAGTTATCTCCAGGAAAAGAGATGAATATTAGGAGAGATTTTCAGAAAATCCTTGATATGTATTGAGTCCCACTTCCCTGTCTCCTAGCAGAGTTCTCGCGCCTTAGTTTAAGCCCATAGAAAGGAATTTCAACTCGTCTACACAGAGAACCTGGTATTTGTTCCCTGAACCTGGAAAGACATAGTGGACTGCTGTCCATCCTTGGGTCCAAGAAATCTAAAGGGCAGAACTGTGGTAGGCACATTGCTATGAGGCCTGCACAAAGGAAGACTGGCTGCAAAGAGTTTGGCCATTGTGCAGAGTACGGGTGTTTATATCACTGGAATGATGCTGTGTCTTTGTGCCTTGAAATGACTGCTAGAATGTATATTAACCAATAATGACAGCAATATCATGGGACTTACCCTAGATTTCATCCAAGAGGCAGGTGAAGAATTGGCCCCAAATGAATGTATTTGAAAGGACTGTAGGAGAGAAAAATGAGATTCCTTCATGATTGCACATTTTGTTTCCTCTGTGTTCAGTTGACTAAGTTGTCTTACCTATCTATTTATCTATCTATGTATATATCATGTCTATGTGTATGCACATAGATATGCAGAGGCATACACAGATACATACCTGTATACACATGTGTATATATATATATATATTACATCTGAAGAAGAGCAAGATTGTAATGTAAAAAAATAGTAGCTATAGTTTATTTATTATGTTTCAGGCCCTGTCCAAAGATCTTTACAAATATTATTTATTTTTCATAGTCATCTTAGACAACTGAGGAATGAACAGCTATTCAGCTGCAAGTAATGGAGCCACCCCTGTTGGCCCAGTATTTATCCTAGGGAATGCTGGTCGATTCTGAAGGACCAAGTCCGCTATTCCAATCTCTTCTGTCAAATGTGAGAGCTGTGAGAATGTATCATCTAGTTGCTGAAAGCTTGCTATAGAGCAGGCAGACTTTTAAGCACTTGAGGGTAGATTGGTCAACAAAACAAAACTGTCTGTCTTCATGGAGCTTAGATGAGACCAGGGGTTTGAAAATATTTTCTAAACACTACTGGGTCACTTGCAGAGTGCTGACTGTCCTTCATGTTTATGCTACACTGGGAAATCCTGCATGTTTCTAGCTGATGGGTCTCTGTACTACGCTTGGAAGCAGTACTATCACTCAGGTGGCTGAACGGAACTCTTCACTTCCTCTTGCGTGCCAGGTTTCAGGCCACTCGCTGCACCTTCTCAAGGATAGGGACCAGAGCTTCTGTACTCTATTTTCTCTGTCTCCAGGATCTAGCATGGCACTGCTCGGAGTAGGCTGTATGTGTGCTGAATGGAATGGACCTAACCTAGGATTGAGTTGATAAAGCTAAGTATTGGAATCTAAAGCATGAGGAGAATGAAGAATAGATTATACAGACTCATGAGTGTTTTTTTTTTTTTGCTTTTGTTTTTGTCTTTTTGAAGTGTAATTAATTTACAGTGTTGTGTTAGTTTCAAGGTAAAGAAACTCCCCGCATTGCAGGAGACCTGGGTTGGATCCCTGGGTTGGGAAGTGAGTAGTAACCCATTCCAGTATTCTTGCCTTCGTCCCTGTCCTTGAGAAGCTGCAGTGAGTGGCCCAGTGAGTGGCCCAAAACCTAGCACACAAGAGGAAGTTAAGGGTTCCATTCAGCCAACTCTGAGTACAACCTGGAGAATTCCATAGACAGAGCAGCCTGGCAGGCTACAGTCCACAGGGTTGCAAAGGGTCAGACATGACTGAGTGACTAACACTTTCACACACACACACGGCTTCCCAGGTGGTGCTAGTGGTAAAGAATTTGCCTGCCAATGCAGGAGACATGAGAGACACAGGTTTGACCCCTAGGTCAGGAAGATCCCCTGAAGAAGGTCATGGCAATCCACTCCAGTATTTTTGCCTGGAGAATCCCTTGGACAGAGGAGCCCAGTGGACTACAGTCCATGCGGTTGCAAAGAGTTGGACACAACTGAAGCAACTTAGCACATATTTTGTATATCCTTTTTTCAGATTCTTTTCCATCATACCTATTAAAAGATACTGAATATAGTTCCCTGTGCTATACGGTAGGTCCTTGTTGTTTACTTATTTTATATCTAGGAGTGTGCATGTGTTAATCCCAAGCTCCTATTGAACCCCTTCCCTCCGCTGTGTGCTTTGGTAAGCATCAGTTTGTTTTCTGTACTCATGAATGGTTTATTCCGCACCTGCACCTCCGTCCCCATGGCTCCCAGCACATCTGTCTCCTCTTTTGAGATGCACTCAGACCATACCTGCGATATCCTCCTTACTCACTGGTTAGTCTGCATGGCTATCCTTTCTTGGATCTCCTGTCATATGAAGGACTCACCCATAGACATAAACCTTTAAACATGCTTGTCCTATGTTACCCTTTAAAAGTACTATACTTTGATTCAGGAATAATTCTATGGTCATATTAGTAGTCTCCCAATCCTTAACCACATACAACATCCAATACGACTTGAGGAATGAAATAAATTAAGGTACAGCTTACATTATTCTTGTGAAAGAATCTCTGATTTCCAGATATATATAGATGTGTGTGTGTGTGTGTGTGTGTGTGTGTGTACATGCATATGTTTGCATACATAGTGCATGTGCTTAGTGGTTTTTTTTCCATTTCATCTTCTCTATTCAGTTCTGATATTTGAATTTGGGACCTAATATAGCAGTAATTGGGAGAAGGCAATGGCACCCCACTCTAGTACTCTTGCCTGGAGAATCCCATGGACAGGGGAGTCTGGTGGGCTGCAGTCCATGGGGTCGCACAGAGTCGGATACAACTGAGCGACTTCACTTTTCACTTTTCATGCATTGGAGAAGGAAACGGCAACCCACTCCAGTGTTCTTGCCTGAAGAATCCCACGGACGGGGGAGCCTGGTGGGCTGCCATCTATGGGGTCGCACAGAATCAGACATGACTGAAGTGACTTAGCAGCAGCAGCACCAGCATGGCAGTAACCAAGGAAGAGTTGGTACCAAAGATGTGATTCTGGTATCCCCCTTTCCATAGCTTTGTCTATGAGCTATCATATAGTGTGAAAGTGTTAGTCACTCAGTCCTGCAACCCCGAGGACTGTAGCCTTCCAGGCTCCTCTGTCCATGGAACTATAGTATGTGACTCTGTAAAGTACCATGCTGGTTTTAATGCTGATTTTTCTTCTCTTCTTAATCCTAAGCATGGTTGCTTAGCTCAGAATCAGAATTTTGTACAAAACATTTACAAAATGTGAACTCTTGGCTTTCATTCCAAATTTCCTGAATCCAAATCTCTGAGGCTGGAGCTAAACTATCTTGGTAGCTGATTCTTCCCAGAGTAATGATCTGTTTCTAATCCTTTTCTCTTGTTCCTCTTTCTCTTTCTCTCTCAATCTCTCTCTCTCTGTCTTTCTCCTTCCTTCCCTTGCATTAAGAACAACATAATTTTTTTAAATTTTCATTTACAAATCTGTATTTTAGTGTAGAAGGATCTGTCTGATGATGATTGAATGCTCTTTCAAGTATTTTGAAAATACCACTGGTTACGGCATATTTATCAGCTTCCCTAGGACTCAGATGGTAAAGAATCTGCCTACAGTTCTGCAGGAGACCCAGTTTAAGTCCCTGGGTGTCTGGAAGATCTGCTGGAGAAGGGAATGGGTATCCACTCCTGTATTCTTGTCTGGAAAATTCCCATGGATAGACGAACCTGGCAGGTCACAGTCCATGGCATCACAAAGAGTTGGACATATTGAACGCATTCCCTTTGCTTCTCTGAGCATTTATACTCAGTAAGGCTACCCATTTGGATGTAGGTGAAATTCAAGTTGCCCATGCTATATCACACACTTAAAAAAAATTCTTTTATTCTAGCACACACAATTTCTTTTTCAGGCATCTTTTCAAACATTGGTTCATGGGGAAAAAATAATCATATAGGGATTCTCGGTCATGTTAGTATTTACCATTTAGCTATTTTGTCTGACACTGTTCTAAATGATTTACAGACACAATATTGTTTTATTTTCCCAAGCATGTCATGATGTCTGCTTGTATTAATATCCTCATTTTACAGAAACTGGAGCCCAAGCACCTTCAACCTATAAACTTCAGAACAAGGATTTATACCCTGAGCTGTCTGGATTAAAATGCGCACTCTTTCCCTCTGAATGATNTTCTAAATGATTTACAGACACAATATTGTTTTATTTTCCCAAGCATGTCATGATGTCTGCTTGTATTAATATCCTCATTTTACAGAAACTGGAGCCCAAGCACCTTCAACCTATAAACTTCAGAACAAGGATTTATACCCTGAGCTGTCTGGATTAAAATGCGCACTCTTTCCCTCTGAATGATGTCAAAAGGTTAGGAGCCATGGCTCTACCTGGGGCCCAGGTGCTTGGGAACCCTTTATGGGCTGTTCTGCCCAGCACTTTGGAATGCAAACTCCCTTGAGCAAGCCCTTGTTGGCATAGTTTCACCAGCAGCCTGTCTTAGGTAGTTAGAGAATATTAAAATGGTCCTAATAATAAAATAGCGCTTGGTCAACCGTGTAGCCCCCTTAACTGAGGGGAGGAGGAGAATAGCTCACTTTCCCTGGAGGGCCTGAGAAAGATCAGTTTACAGGCGTCAGCATGGGGTGTAACCCTTCTTCCTTCTCTCCATCTTGGGGCCAGCACGTGCTTCTTGTGACCATCGTGTCCCATTAGCCCACGGTCTGGGCAGAAACCATGAACAGGGCTCTTTTTCTCCCCCACCCAAAACACGCTCAGTCCTTTCACTGACCTGGCTTCTGATTGGAGGCTGGTTGCTGCAGATAATGACCTCCAAGACCCCTCTGTGGATTACAGCCTGTTTGTTAAGACACCTTAACAGCAGTGTTTTCGACATCCCCAGGAACCAGAAGCACAGGAGACTGACAGCATCCCAGCCACCTGCATGGGCCCAGGGCTGGCAGCTCCCCATGTGCCCTTTCCAGACAGTCTGCTCACTAAGATGAGGGATCTTCTTCAGTATGTTGCCTGCTTCTTTGCATTCTTCTCCGCTGGGTTCTTGGTTGTGGCCACCTGGACAGACTGTTGGATGGTGAATGCAGATGACTCCTTGGAGGTAAGAAGTCAATAGATTCTTTTACTGACCCAAGTCCATCTGACTTTTCTCTAAGCCCCCTGTCGCATTACATTCTAGGACTAGTGATCGTAGTACTAGCCAAAGTGGATAGACTTATTCCTTACTTGCTACTTACTGAGTCTTTACATTATTAACTTATTTAATACACACAGCTCATCTATGGGGTAGATATTGTTATCCCATTTTACAGATGAGGTAACTGGATAACCCCCCTTTCTTCATAAAGGTAAACTCATACAAGTGTAATTATATAAGCTTTCCAGAAACACCTCTTCCACTGCTGTGTATACCCAATTGAATAACTTTCCAGTAACATCCTTTCTCACAAATAGAAATTTGCTAATCTTGAATATAGCATTAAGGGTAATGTGACAGACCTTCTAAAGAAATGATCATCTAAAAGTTGATCAAGTGATTAAACTCAAGTCATAAAATCTACCCAATTACTGTGTAATGGAAAAATGTCCTTTTAAGGAGTTTCCAAACAGGATAAAAAATTCTGTGTGAAACCAAATCTTTGCAGTATGTCCCAAAGTGGGACAGATGTGGACTCAAGAAACTCTCTTTTAAAAATGAGTTAATATTGGGAACCTAATGTTTGTCCAAGAGATGAGTGAGCAGTTCACATCTGAAAATTTTATTTTTGTCACTAGAGAAGTTCTGAATGAAGTAATTTTGAAATTTAGAATTTTTTTCAGTGGCTATAAGAATCTGAAAGAGGTAAAAATAAGTTCTTTAGAATCAGCAACTATTCATTAGCAAGACCTCAAAAAGTGTAGGTAAGGAAAAGAAACTATATCAGGAACTCAAATACAGAATATATAGCAAGCCACTATGTTCTCCTGTGTACATCCTGAAGAGAACAATTTACTCTAACAAATGCTATAACTTTATGAAGTTTAAGAAAGATACCCGAGGGCAAGTTTTTTATATTTTTTTCTACTAATTTTGTTGGAGTTTCAGATGGAAAGTCATAATCTTTCTGTTTTTCTGTGTATATTTATGTTTCTGTTTTATTTTTTCTTTCTTTTTATATTTCCCCTGACTCCTACATGGCACTTCAAAGCCAATAGAGTTTTAAGTATTTCTTTAGCTAGCACTTGAAAATTATATTTCTGAAAATTGTGATAGAATTGAAATATTATAAAGGATGTCTGTTATATATTAGTCCAGGGTGCATTATCTGACCATGCACATAACTGGTGAATGAAATAAAAAACTGTCCTTTTAACGGTACTCAGAAAGTGCATATAGAAACATTCTGCTACCATTAGCTTGCTAGAATATGGACTGTCAGTACTCGGTGATGAATACATAAATATGCTGGACTTGAGCACACTTAAAATTACCTTTTTAAAAATATGCAAAATCACATCTAAAAGCATTCTTAAAATATTTTCTAATCAATTTGAAAATCTTTCTTCTTAAGCTGATGGAACTGCTAACTTCACTTGATAAGAAATAAAAATATTAAAAGGGTCAGACCTTGCTGAGATAGATTGAAAGTCCTAGCACTTAAAGTGTCTCCTTGATTTCATCTCAGTACATACAAACAATTTGCCATCTCTTCTGTGCAAGAACACTTCTAGTGAAAATGAATGGAATGAGCAGTCCAGTTTACTCACCTCTAGTAAATCCTTGCGAACCTTGGGCTATAGTTAGTAGTTCCTAGCTTTTTTCATATTTCCTGTACCTGAAATGTATCATAATAAATACTCCCCAAGAAGCCTCCCCATTAAAAGAACCTTTAAAAATTCTCTCCAGCAGTCTATTTGTCAATATTTTGTGGATCTCTCATAATAATTGCTCTTTCATTTGGCAACATAAAAAGTCATAATATTATCTTTAAATGTCAAGATATGATACTCACTGACACAATTATACTGTTCTCCCTCTTCGCTTCCTTCTCATGGATATATATATATATATATATATATATATAAATATATNTTAAAAAAATAAAAGCATAGCCACAGAAAATTTAAACAAAAAGGGATATAATGAATTTTTAACTTTGTTAATCTTTTATTGTGATGAAGACATCAGAGTGGGAAAATGGATTCTATAGTTCAGGATAACATAACAAACATGAAATGTATGTCATGTAAAACGTGCTCTGCTAATCCTACTAGGGGAGGCAAAGATAAAACAAGAGCAGGTCCTGCCTTTCATGAGTGTACACTTAGACAGGAACAAAGACACCATGAAACTATAATAAAGGGCATAGGCCAATTCATATCGAGAAAGAAATGAAGTACCAAATGGAACAAAGAAGATAGGCGATTCGTTCCTGTCAGGGACATTGAAACAAGCTTCAGGGAGTAAAAGCCATTGAACAAAGCTTCAAAAAGATCCAAAAGGATTTCAAAAAGTAGAAAGGGCCCCAGAGGTTTTCCGAGAGAGGACAAATAGAAAAAAATACGGAATAAATGTGAGTAACAGGGAGCAGGAGGCAGATAAAGCTCAAACACCCTTTTGCCTTACTAGAGAATATTCAAAATACAACAAAATAGTATTTTGTCTTATTTACATCTGCCCTGAAGAGAAAAGTTCTTTGAGTTAAGAAAAAGAATAGATGCATGTGTGTGTATGACTGAATCACTGTGCTATATTCCTGAAGCCAGCATAACACTGTGAATCAACGGTACTCCAATATGAAAAATAAAGAAATAAAAACATGAGGAAAAAGAGCACATGGGATCGTGTCGTGCACAGCCCCAAGTCAGGCCGCAGGGGTCCTGAGCCATAATGCTGCTCCTTCTGTCACTCCTGGGTCACATGTGTCCTGGAAACACCGCTGTGTGACTAGACCTTGGGTTTGGAGATTATTGTAGCCTGTGTTTGCATCTTAACTGTCTTCTCCTGAGCAAGTCACAGCTCGTGTCTTAGGCCCAGTTTCCTCAATTATAAACATGAAGTCAAACTCGGTTGTTTTAAGGCCCTTTTCAGTCTTATATTCTTCAACATCAGAATTCCTTGGCTATGACTCTGTCTAGAGACATGACTATGGCTTCCAGAGAGATGGCCAGCCAACATAGGAGGACCAATGGCATCTACAGCCTCCCCAGAAATTTCCACTAGGAAATCTAATGTTGATAGTCTTCATTTTTCTGTAGCTTCATATGTTCTTTCTTCTTGTTTCCCACTCTCCTTCCATCCTTATTTTTTTCTCCTTTCTATTCTTCCCCCCTCCCTCCTTTCTTCCTCTTTCTTTCTCCTCTCATTTCCTTCTCCCCTTCTCTTTTTTCCTCTCTTTTAAAAACATCATGCTCTACTTCCCTTTTCTTCTTTTTTCTTCTCCCCTCCTCTTCTCCTTGGTCTCTTTATCCCTCTATTTATGCTCCCCTTTTTTCTTTTCTAGCATCTATCATTCCACAAATGCTCTTTGTCTACCTGATACTGTAGTGGGTACACATTATGAAAGAGGATGAGTCTTGGATCTTCCTTACGTTTCTCCCAGAGTATTGGGAGAGACAAAAAGGTGAGCTCATAGACACAGTATGCTATGGCCAGCACTGTGATTACAGGTACCTCTGAGTGGCCAGCTCACTCAATCATGAATAATCAGTGACAGCTACTCAGAAGAAGTATCCAAACCAGACTAGAGGAACAGGTGAAAGGGCCAGAAAAAGAAGACAGTATTGCCAGCACAGGATATGATATAGGCAGAGATCTAGGTATGAGAATGCTGTATGTTAGCGGCTTTGGACATATTTCAGCATGGCAAGAGTTTCCAGTGTAGGGAAAGAATATAGGTGCTGGATCATCAAGGGATTTGTCTTCATGTAAAATGTAGACCTTATATGGGGCCTTCCCTTATCTCAGCTGGTAAAGAATCCACCTGCAATGCAAGAAACCCAAGCCAGGCTTGATTTCTGGGTTGGAAAGATCCCCTGGAGAAGGAAATGGCAACCCCTTCCAGTATTCATGCTTGGGATATCCCATGGACAGGGGAGGCTGGCAGTCTACAGTCCACGGGGTTGCAAGGGTCAGACACGACTGATCTAAACCACGACCATAGATCTTATATCACAGACAAGAGTGGTTCACTCTAAGAAAACATATATAAATATATATGTTTTAGAAAAATCCATCATTCTGGTTAATGTGGGGATTAGAAAGGGTAAAATGAATCACAGGGAGACCAATTAGGAAGCTTTTGCCATAGAACAGGAGGAAAACATTGATAATCTAAACTAGTGCAACAACAAGCATTAAAAGATGTGAAGATATGGGAAGCTAAAGAACTTGAATTGGTGGGATTGATAATTGATTGCAAGGCTGATGCACAAGGAGAACTAAAATTTGAAATCCACTTTCCTGTTTTGGGACAATGAAAGGAAGGATGGAATCATTCATCTAGAGCTTAAATGGAGGAAAATTAATCTTTGTGCAAAAGTTATTAAGCAAAAATATTCCTACACCATGAAATTTCTTTTTCACTTAGATTGTTGCACAGCACCTTGTGGGGGCCAGAAAGGTAGTGCTTTGTAGTGTGGATGTTTACAGGTTGCACTTGAAGTTAGAAGGACCTGAGATGAAATCCCAACCTGCCAGGCAATAACTGTGTGAATTTGGACAAACGTTTAAGTTTTTGTAAAACCATATTTCCTCTCCTATAAAGGGAGAATAATGATATGCACATCATAAGTGTCTTGTGAGGGTTAAATGAGCCTATGTATCTAAAGTATTTACCACAGTACCAGGCAAATATAAATCAGTCAATAAATGTTAGATACAATATTGTCTATTTGCAGTTTATTGCTTTGTTTTTGCTCTGGAGGAGGAGATGACATTTTGTAGAATGTTCACTGAAGGGAAAAATATGAGATTTAAGTCCTGTTCCTATTTTCTCTATTGATTCTCTTGGACAAATTCTGTTTATTTCTCTGAACTGTTGGTTTTTCCATTTTATTTCCTATGATTGTACCCTTTTTGTCTAACTAGGAGAATAAGGCAGAGAATAAAGACAAAATAGC